TCATGTGTATCTTATATTCAACATTAAATAACCCAACGAGTGCAGATTTTGTCATTAAACTGACCAACCCCAACCCTTATTTATCTTCATGGTTCATCTTCTGATATTTTCCTGACATTCCTTCTCTATCACATAACCTTGTTTCTGAGAAGCTAAATAGCGATATTGTCTTTTCCTATGCCCTACCTAATTGCAATTTACCCACTTTGTTAGGAGGTTTTCTTTCCTGTGACCATGCTTCTCTTTATGATACTTATGGCCACATTCTCAGCAGGCCATACACTGGAGTTTGGATAAAATATGGTAACGATGTAATTCAAAGCTTTATACTCATTTCCACTAAAGGCTGAAAAAAAAAATCCTTGCCATCTCCAAAATCTTGACGATTGCAATCATCAAATACAACTTAGCCACCGGTGTCTGAAGGGATATAAAGCCTCGAATTCTGAAAACAATTGTTTTCAATATAAAAAGTGCGCTAATTTCTTAATGAAGTTAGATGAAACTAAACCTTCTAATGTCATCTAAAAATTAAAAATCGGATTTTTAACTAACCCAATAAAAGCACGATGATAGCTGTCATAATACAGTCAAAGCGATATTTTTGAATGATGTTAGTGAAAACTCATATTCTCAAACAGCAAAACTAGAACGAAATTTTCGGTCAATAAAAAATTTGTTTTTTTAGTTAATGCTTCTAGCATCGAAAATTGAAGAGAATGAGTAAAATTTTGGTATATTTAGATATTTTTTTTTAACTTAAGAAGATGAAAATGCAACTTTGCAAAAAGATTTGCGCAATTTATGGGGACGGTTCTGTGAATGATCGAACCTGTCAAAAGTGATTGCATAGTCGTAGTTTTCGATGAAACGATGATTCCCGATCAGATAGATCATTTGCGATTGACTGAGATAAAATCAATACTCCAGAATTATCAGCGTCATATGATACAGGAAATCATCAATGTGCTAATTGTGAGAATATCAGTTTCCTTAAAAGAAAATATTCAGGATTCATTGATCGAACAGTTATCATTACTCTCAGTTAAAATTCATTTATTCTTTCTCCTAAAACAGTTTTTTTTAGGGAAATAGACATCTCGAGTTCACAAACAGTTATCGCCCTTTCTAGTATTGATGGGAGTTTCCTTCCTAACCTTTTGTTTAAGGTAGGGTGGAAATTCAGCATTTGATTATATCATTATTTTCCTTTCTAGTTACATGTGCTAAAAATTTTAGTTGTTGCTGCTGTTGGAAGTCTTTATGTGATGGAATTTTAGTTATTTGATCGAATTCTTTGCTTGTGATTCTGCAGCCCCAGTCTTGTAAGATCTAATGAGATGTCTTCTTTAAAAGCTAGATGACTCATTCGCTTGAAATATTGATCTGAGAAAACGATTGTATGTAGCTCATAGTTTAGATATATATGAGCGAGTTAAATGTCATGAATGACATCCACATGAGATTCTAGATCTGACAAGGCAATTTGAGAGCCTGACTCTAGTTCTGAGGTAAATCTTTTGGTTTTGTAGAATCTTGTGGTGTTGGGCGAAACTAACACTAGTGCAGCCTATACTATTTCTTTATATCCTGCTCTAAACGTGTCATAACTGATCCATAGGCCAAGATATTTGAAGTGTTTTGAGTTTATTAATTTCACATTTCTTAATTTTTACGATGGGTTTAGGTTATGCACCATCACACCTTTCATTCCAATTCTAGATCATAGTTTTTTTGTTGTTGTTGTTTTTTTTTTTTTTTTTTTTTTTTTTTGTTTTGTTTTTTTTTTTGTTAAATATATATTTTTTAAATGAGGTTCACCCTGTAAAGTGCCCAGGAGCCACTCGAGGTAGAGGGTTACAAAGCAAAAGGCAAAGCTTATGTGTGAAAGACAACGGCTAACCCTGAACTTAAACAGGTTAAGATTATATTGATCGGGGGAAAAGTCGGTTCCACAGAGCAGTGGTTCGCGGAAAGAAGCTGCTGGAGTGGAATACGGGGGAAATGAGGGTGGTTCACTACAATGTGCGGGGCATGGCGGGTTTTAATCGTGAAGGTTAGAACTGGCAGAACTAAGGAATGTAGTTCGTTTGAGCACTTTCTAAAAAAGTAGCAATAGAGCAGTGGGAGGTTTGCTACATCTTGTCCGTGAGAGATTTTTTTTTCCGAAAGTTTTACCGTAAGTCGTATTTGGAACATTTGGCAGAGGATTTCATTTTTTGTTGTTGTTGTTTTTTTTTTGTTTTTTTATTCAAGATCATTCTTTTCGCACCTATGAATACCTATGCCATCAGCATAGGTCACCCAATTCATTATCGGTACACTGACCTCTGAACGGAAATAGACTAGTGATTATCACATGAGCATCTGTTGTTGTTGTTGTTGTTGCTTTAACATGTTGAATGACGACTGAAGTATCGGTACGGTTGCAAGAAACAGTGGGGAATAATCACCGTGAGACAAGTGTTCTCTTTTTGAGAAAAAAAATCAAAACAGGTCTTATACCACCGCAGAGTCCAAACAGTCGCTTTCACCTGTTCTTCCACGTTTCTTAATCACACGTGAACGACTCCGTCTGGCTCTTCAAAGGTCGCCGCAACATTATCTTCCCTGATCATAAGAGGGACATTAACGTCTAAAGATGACAAAAATTTTGTACCGTAGGCAAACATCTAGGGTGTGTAACTAAAATGACGTCATCAAAGAAGTAACCAATCACTGGAGCAATTATAAATCTCCGATAAGAAATAATATGAAAAGGAAATGGTTTCTAATTCATATTTTCTTAAGCTCTTCCTTGCTTTCAATGTTTGCCACAGTGTTAGTCTTCTATGTGTCATCACCCTTCAGCATGTGATGATCATGGCTCTCCGCAACTTCTTACCCTTGTCGCTCTTAGCAATATTTGTCTTTTTAATATCCTCTCCCACTTCCTGTTCTAGCATCCATTTTTATAAGCTCGTTAGGTAGGTTACTTGTTGTTTTCTTCTGCGTCTTTTGTCTTCAATATGTCATGTGAGTGTCAAATTTAAAACTAAAATAGGTAGCATATGCAATTACAAGACAAATTAATGATATAACCAAGCTGTTGTCTTTCCACACTACCAAAAACAAAAGGTTTGCAAGGAAATTCCCCTGAATATTAGAAAGAGTTATAAGATTTACTTGGCGTGAGAAGCCAGATTTTCTTAAAAAAATTCTTCAATAAATTTCAACCGGAAGTATTATTAACCACTTGGACAATAAAGGTCAAAGCTTTCCTGCATAGAAAAGACTTATTTTATCATTTCACTTAACATTACCATAAATAATACTGCTGTTAAAAATAATAATAATAATAATAATAAAAAGATCTTAAAATCTCCTCACAGATGAAGATAGAACTTGAGGCAATAGAAATGTGGCCCTACTGAAGGATGATGAGAATACCATAGACCAAACTTGTGAGCAACGACGAAGTTTTAGAGAAAATTGAAACGAAAGGGAAACTTATATTTAACATCAGAAAGAGACAGATAAAATTTCTAAAATATCTTAAAATCTATAACAAATGTCAACTGAAGAGGGCCGGATCGTTTAACGACCGAAACGTCGTGAATATGGCAATAAAGATAAGGGCAACAGTCTGAATGATGTAAATAGTTACAATACCTCACTTAAGAAATATAGACACAAAATAAATTATTTCTTTTTTTCAAATGAACTGTTCTGTATAAGGGTTTTCCTCCTTCACTGGTGTCGCCAGGTAACAGTCTCGCTCTTACATTAATGTTAGATATTTACTAAGATTAGACGAAAAGAGGACGAGAAAACTGAGTACAAGAATCATAGGTGGAAAAATATATTTAAAAATTTACACGTAAAAGCATCATAATAGTAAAAATACCCTTTTAAATAACCCGACATTTTTATGGAATAAATAAATCTTATATTATAAATAATATAAGATTTGACTGAACATAAATTGAGTGATTAGTTATCTATAGTTATTACATAATGATCCCCTAAGAATTACTGCATATCAATTTAATTAGAAAAATATATTTTAAAACTTATATCTAATAACCTAATGAAAGTAAGGATCTAATAAAATATTATGTCTTACTGCTGTCTTATCTTACATTAATATTAATATAAAATTGTAATTAACATATTATTTATTGTTATTCATTCATAAACTGATCCCTCGAACATTACTACATCTTAATATAATAGTTGTAATTATATATCTAAAGATTCACATGTGAAAACATTTGATATACAGGGTGTCCACAAAATCTTTAGACAATTTCAAAATGTAATTACGAAAAAGAGGTGGCAAATAATTTTTTGTTGCATATTTATGTTACTCTTGTTTTTTTAATAATATTAATGTTCTGTCTTTATGTTTCAGATCGCAGTTATTATTGATTTTATATTTCAGATCAAAGTTAAAGAATTACTAAAATTGGATGTTTTGAGTACCACATAAGAAAAGGCGCAATGTGTGTCTTGGTTTATCAAAACAATGTCGGATATTCAAACAAAGACATTTCATAGCTAAACACAGAGAACAAGCTCCGCTACGTCAGTCGATTCTAATGATTTTGTGGATACCCTGTATATATAACCACTTTATAGGACTTAACAAAACACGTCATCATATGTGGCCATATGGTTAAACTAGTTATAATATTCTACTGGACGTAAAATGGAGGAACAGTTTTCTATTTCTCTTAAGTAATAAACTATTCTCGTTAGAATTACTATTGGTTGATTTGTTTGTTTTTTTACGGCTCATCAACATTTTGCAGGTTATTTAAAGCCAGAAAATATTTTCAGACGTTTTTACTGACATAAGTTCGACTAATTGACCCATAGCTGGGAATAGAAGTAAATTCATAACTTTCTCAACGGTATTTGCGCGTAAGTAAATATAACAAAGCCGACTTGCAGTTTGAACTTGGCTCTTCGATTTGCAATTCAAAGCCATTACTCATTACACCACCCACACATCCAAGCTTACAACACATGGTATTCCTAAGCGGTAACCCATCTCAGTGGCTCTGACCAGACTCAACGTTGCTTAACTTCGGTGATTGTACAAGAACCGGTGTTTCAACGTGATATAGACGTAAGCCTAAAATTACTACGGATTAATATAAAAACTGACAGAAATATCTTTAAAGACTCACATATGAAAGCTTTTATTTTTTTAATACTTTATGTAACCCGTATTGTTTCAATCCGTAAGTGTGGGCTTCTTCCTCACAGACTGAGATAAGAAGTGTTAAAGCCGTAGGGATATAGCTCTACAGAAAGATGCTGAGAATATCCTGAATGGGACATTTGAGCAAATGAAGAATTTTTAAAGAACTTTGAACAAAAAAAAAAGAACACTTATACATAAAAACAAAACAGAAGAAAGGAAAGAGAGAAAAAGTTGAAATTTTAATACGAAAAGAGGTCTTGGAGAATTTGACATTCAGGGGATATATTGAATGCAAGAGGGAGAGAGATAAACAGCGAGAAACTTACCAAACTAACTTCTGTAGATGGATGCCAGAACAGGAAGTGGGATGTATAGCAAAAAGACAAACATTTCTGAGAGCTACAAAGGATAGGAAATTATGAAAAGCCATGATTGCCCACGTAGTGAAAGGTCACCATACATACAAGAAGAAAATTTAATCACAGATCTTGCTTTGATCAAGTTGTTTCTTACCATGAAAGAATTGTGCTTTTATCTTGCCATCCACAATCCTCGTTGATTAAGTAAGGTTTATGAATATTTTATATTGTATTTTTTTATTGGTCACCCAAAACAAGGCCTATTTCCCGCTCAAGGTAAAAGAGTAATGAACGAAAATTCTGTAAGGGCGTATAAGGAGAGAGAGAGCAAATTCGCATATTATGATAAGATGTAGAACAGATAAAGGCTGGATTGTAGTGATCAGGGAATCATCACCCCTAGAGTTCGTTCCACATTGCAACAATTCTAGGCAATAAGCTACTAAGTGGAACTTAGTCCTTGACAATGAAAAAGGAAAGGAATGGGGATTAATCGACACTGTGTATGTGACATTACGCTTCCAAGCTGTGAATGTCCGGTCTGATAGAACCAAAGAATGTATTGGGTTACTTATCAAACCGAACGAACTTTTTGGCCACCCCAATAGGTCTCCCGAACGTCTGACATGAAAATAGTGGTAGAGCACCGAGAGGTTTTTTAAGTTCTACCCGCTGGAAAAGATTTGAAGGGTGGGAAACAGTTCATCACCCACATGGCCGCGCTAACTCTTTTGAAATCGATCGAAATAGGAAAGTGAGGATTGTGCAGCTCCGGCCAAGATGTGCAGCAATACTTCATTTCTTTTTTTACTTTTTTTTTTTTTTGTCTGATTAAAATAAAGCATGTCGATGGCAGTCAGGTTGTTTCTGGGATGCTGTAAGAGCTGATCATTTTTGCAACGTCTTTAGTGAGGTATCGTATCTACGAGTTTCATTTGAAGTTTCGGCGTGAGCTTGTGTCTCTCCAGACTTTCCAGGCAATGATTCATCATGACTGGAGAGAACTGTCACGATGGACGATGACATTCTCAACGATGCTCGTTGCTTTGGACGTCAGTTCGGTCTGAAGTCACCTCAAGACTTCAAGTGCAATACATATATACAATCCATTGCCATTAAAAAATATCAGTTCATTCTACCTCTCCAGAAAGAAAATCCAAAAAAGTATCTGTAATGTAATCGCTCCTGACATGGCATCTCAACTTTAGTCACTTTCTCACGACGTGTTGTGGCTTCCCTCTATCTTTACTACAAATATTTTCATGCCAGCTGCTCTGACGAACTTTTTTTTTCCTGGTGCACCGACTACGAGAAGTTACGCGTGCTACTAGATTGGAATCTAAATCAGACTCTTTTATTGTTGAAATAACTAAATGCAAACGCTATCTATTTCAACAGACCTACCGTTCATCCTGACATTAAATACTGTTTCCATATCTGGTCTGGTGTTCCTACTGTGCATCTCAAGATTCTTAACAAAATCCAGAGAAGGGTCTGCAATACAATTGATCCTGACCAGGCATCTCGTCTCCAGTCATTTTTTTCAGCGACGTAACGTGGCCTCCCACTGTCTGTTCTACATTTATTTTCATGGCAACTGCTCGGATGAGCTTTTTTTTTTTTTTTTCTTTTTTTTTGCCTGGTGCCACGACTACAGGAATTTAAGCGTGATACTAGATTGACAACTAAGTCTCACCTGTTTACTGCTGAAATAGGTAAATGCAACCGCTACTCCAACAGTTTATTTTCTCGCACTTGCCACCTGTGGAACTCCCATCTGGGGAACTCCCTTCCGTTTACTTTCTTCCCTGATAACTACAACCTCAAAAATTTAAATGCAACATCGATCGCAATCTTCTGTCTTCTTGAATCTCATTCATCTTTTGTCCTTTCCTACATAACCGCTTATTCTCAGTTTTCTCATTCATTTTCACTGCGTAGTAGTCTGGAATGAAAATTATTCTGCCATGCTTTATCTTTACAAAATTTAGATTACACCAGAAATTAAATATTGCTGGGTTGGAGATGCTCAATCTTCACTTTGTAGCTTAGTCAGAGTTCAGAATAGTTTTTTACAGATTAATTTTTTCCACTCTGCTTCATTTTTCCCACAGACACAACGGTATAATCCCACCACTAATCGATCGCTATTTCTATAGCAAATATTCAGAGTAGTTCCACCAGTTCAGACCTTTACGACTAGGACACACCATGATTACTTCCACGGAATCAAATCATCCTCATTTCCTCCATAATCCGATTTTAAGGGGCATATTCCACTCGCAATTTCTTCCGCAAGAACTGCTACTTTGTGAAAAGGACTCCTGCGTGGATGCTTCCTTGGTCCTTCAAATCAAGAGCCAATCTTTATCTACCAACCTTATCGTCATGACCTTCACTTCCTATTACCTCTCCTTAAATTTATATAACACACCTTCTCCAGTAGCTCTCGAGCCTTGAGTGTCTCTCGAGCATTATATTGGGCAACCTTTAGTAGATAGATGAATAAAATAATTTTTTTAAAAAGTACGTTAAGGTTGTTTGTGCTCTCTTAGTTCCTGCAAATGGAAGGAATTGTCATCCCTGAACTATGTCCTATCGAATGATATGAAAGAAAATCTTGTTACTTGCATGTCACCATCAAATTGAATTGGTAAATACCTACCATATCTATCTTATATCCTGGTTACAGTAACATTGAAACGCATAGTTCCATTCAGTATGCTGCTGTTGATTATTATTATTATTATTATTATTATTATTATATTCTGCCAGTCAGTGAATACTATGTAAAGTTGACGATATCGGACTTATGACAGACAAGCAGCAAAGGTGTCCAGGTCTTCAATGCTTGCAATTTAAATAATCAGTAAAGACAGTGGCCCCTGAGAGGTTTCTCGGATAGAGATCGGAAATAATCCGGGCAGTTGCTATCGTCATCATTAGTTGAATAACAAGCAAGCGTTCTATGCACAGACATAGATCTGGATATACGGACAAGGAACAATTATTATTTTTATTGTCTTTCTTCAACGATTCGATATCATGATTCATAATACAAGTATATGTTACATATATATATATATATATATATATATATATATATATATATATATATATATTATGATATATGTTACTTGTATAATACAAGTATCTCTCTTCGAAATTTGTTGATACTGCACAGACGTTGTCTGTAGAACGTACATCTGGAATCTTCCGAATTTAATTTAATTGCATCATAAGCATTCTAATTGCTGGGTGCCGTGTCATGATGACCTAAAGTTTTATGAGAACTCTTACCCACCACCCTGTTTTTTGGCTTGTTTCTTTTTATCCCTTATATTTGTTAGTCATATTGTTATTTCCATCAACATTATTATTATTATTGAAATCGTCTTTCCTTCTCACCCTTTATTTTATTATTAATATTATCCCATTAACTATTACCAATATTATTACTGATTTTGATATTATAGCTATCATTTACATACTTTATTCTTTTTATTAATATTATTAACTATTATTATATTCTTACACATTAACATAATAAATATTTCCGGTTTTAGGAGAAAATTGATAATTAATTTTTCAGATTTGTGGGTTATTTTAGCTAATATTTGAGGGAGAGCAAGTTTCAATACTGAATCTGTACGTTGCACATCAAGAATAGAAATCAAAAATAGATTGCTGCTAATGGTGATGGGAATCCATTTCCTTATAAGGAAACTTTTGTCATTCATTGACGATTCAGCCAGTTGAAATTTCTACAATCTTTCTCTTAAAACAATTTGTCAGGAAAACAGGTTTCTCAAGTCCTGTAGCTGTTATCGCTCTTTCCAGTATTAATGACGGTTTCCTTCCTAGCCCTCTATTTGAAGTAGTGTGGAATATCAAATCTTGATTATGAAATTATTTTCTTTTCGAGTTAAATCGTCCATGCATTGAATACTGTTGCCATATATGGTCTGGCGCCCCTGCTATTCATCTCGAAGTTCTCGATAAAAAATCCAAAGATGGGTCTACAATGTGATCGGTCCTGACTTGGCACCTTGACTCCAGTCATTTTCTTATAGACGTGAGGTGGCTTTCCTCTGTCTTTTCTACAAATATTTTCGTAGCAATTGCCCTGAGGAGCTGCTTTCTCTAGTGACCCGACTACATGAATTTAAGCGTGCTACTAGGTTGGCATCTCAGTTTCACCCTTTTTACTGTTGAAACAATTAAATGTAACCGCCTCTTCTACTCAAACAGCTTCTTATCTCGCACCTCCCGACAGTGGAACTCATTTCCTCTTACTTGCTTTCCTGATAATTACAATCTTCAAAAATTTTAATGTAACATCAATCGTCATCTTCTATTGCATTGCTTTCTGTTCTTTTTATCCTTTCCTCAATTCCCCCTAAATCCGGTCTTTTCTCTTACCTTCACCCTCTGTAACTCCTTGTGTACAAGTGACATTCCCGTCTTACTTGGGGTGAAATGCTTTAAAAAATTCTAATATTCATTTTAGATTATCTACTTTACCTAATTCGATAACATTTGGAATGATCTAGAATAAGTTTGATTA